GCTAAAATCAAATATTAAAAAGCTCAAATCTTACGTGCCTCTCGGTAACTCGGATACACAGAAATAACGACGACATCTTCTACGTCTAAGCCGCCAAAAGCTTCCGAAACTGTGAGCATCGCGATATCAGAGGTACATATAATTTGGCATATTTAACAGGCGCATATTTGACAGGCGCCTATCAGACGATCGGATGACGACGGGATAATATACCGCACATCGCACGCGAGAGAGAGAGAGAGAGAAAGAGAGAGAATTTAGATATCGCGCGCGAGCATTGCGTAATGCGAAAATGTCAGGTGTTCAGATTAGCATAAGACAACAGTGGATGCAGAGCTGAAACGCCGCGGTCCAACGAGCGTAAGTCCGATGCGCGACAAGGAAGCCGCGAAACTAAGCCTAGCGAGAAGCTTCGCGATATATTCACGTTAAATTTTCCTCTGCGAATTCGAAGTTTAGTCAAGAAAATCAGCCGCGGACAGACGACACGTTACGCCGCAAAACTCCATACTTCTCCGTCCGTCAACATAATCTCCGTAAAAAAATAAAAACGCGAGAATATACAACGTTCCTTCTCATTTCGGTCTACAATGAAAGAGACGTTTTTCTAAACCTTGATTACCGAACACTTTGTATAAGAGACACACGACAATAAGTTCCGACCGGCAGGCGCCGAACGTTATCACAACTTGCGCTTATACCTCTCGTTTATGTGCATGCGTTTCCGTTTTGCATTCGTGAATCAACAGGATACAAATTGCAAAAAGAAGAGAAAAATAATGAGAGATTAATTGCGCTTCGACGTTCGTTTGACGATGAATTCTTACGTAATCTACATGTATCGTTAGCTCGACAATATATGGGTTTTCGTGTTCTTTTTTTTTTACATCGCCGCTGCAAATTATGACCTGACAGCCTCAATAATCGAGACTGGGTAGTGGTGAGATCTCTCGCGCTGCCGAAATCCCCCCCGTCATCGCAGCGGATGGTCCTAAAAAATCGCGATGAGTCATCGCGGACGTATCGCTCACTACGTTAACACCGCGAGATACATCGCAGAAATGTGAGATGCTTGTTAGTCTCGTTCCAGGTGGCTCGTTACCGCCAGTAGCTCTATGTCAAGTATCGCATAAGTTAGTCTCGACGCGTGACACTCGCGTAATGCCGCGTGAAGGAGGGAAGAATTATGAAAGGATGAAGGAGAAAAAAGGAGTTGTCGAGAGACAGGGGCAGAGAGAGAAAGAAAGAGAGAGAGGGAGAAAGAAAGAAAGAGAGAGAGAGAGAGGGGGGAGAGGATAGAGAGAAAGAAAGAGATACGTCGATATCGTTGTACGACCAAACGCGAATCGTTTATACGACTCTGACGTGTTTTCCCATATTGGTCTCTTGGACAGTTAAAAATTTAAAAGAAAATTTATTTCCTCTTTAATGCAGCAACGTAATCAAAAATTTTTTTCATTATTCGGTCATTCACTTTTGTAGTGGAATTGATTGACAACTCCTTTTATACTTATCCTAAGAATACCAAAATATACTTCCGTTATCCGTCGAGAAGAGGATAGTTTTTTACCATTATCAATTTCATTTACTTTATTGTACACGACGGTCGCAAGTTTAACGCAGATTCTTCTCGTCAACAAGTCGATAAAACTCGGAAGAATCAATTTAACGATGCAAGCCTCGTGCAGTATGCGTAAGCAATAATATATGTCAATCCAGCCGTCGCCTGCTGGGAATAGCAACAAGTAGCTGCGTGCCATAAACTGAAAATACTGATGCGCGTGCAACTGCATAAGCAATGCGTATGCTTGACGCACGTGTCTGTATACGCAATTCCATGAATTAATTATTAATTGATTATTACATACAAGAATGTGTGTATTTGCTGTGTATTATGCGCGATGGCTTATGTTAGCCGGGTAATTGCGTTTCCGGTGTCACGATAAGGTGTACAAAACGTTAAGTCCCCCGGCTTTACTTGTACGAAAATACTTGGCTTCGAATTAGCGCGCAACTGTACACACACGTGAACGGGAAGATTATGTTAATTCAGTGGCAGTGATTTGCTGGCGTGCGGTGACGTTTGGATTTGCGGACGACTAAACACGACTCGGAGAAACGAAAATTTAAATGACCGTCGCGTCGGCTTAAAGTTCTGCACATTGCGATAAATAATGCAATGTAGAGTCGATTATTTCGTTCAATGACTTAATTTCCGTTTTTCCTCACTTAAGAGAGGACGGAAATTACCCTTTTCTACATATAGAAACTGATAAATGCGGCGCAAAGTTGACTACTTGAAGTGAAATTTATAAACGTAATTACATATTACGAATAATACTTGGTCGCGCAATCATGTGAAAATGATATATCGATTTAATATATCATTTGTTGAAGTTTGAAAAAATAACCGAGTTGAAACAATAAGTATAGTGGCGAGAATATTACCTATATATTAAGCCATTTAGTCGGACAATTCTTGACGCGATATATCTATGTTCTTCGCGCTACATTTCTCGTTTTTGCCTTTGACAACGAGTAAAGACGCGTCTACTGTCTATTTAGCTGAAAAGCGTGTAACGTCTGTGTTCTTTCTATTTGCTCGATGCTCTCTAACACATTTACTGAAGCCAGAATCTTGATTTCGAATCTCCTTCCGATTCCCAAACACGAACGTTCTATCAATTCTACTCATAGCTCATTCCCAACGGGTCTTGACCATGGCATTAGATCGGCGATGACATCACAACGAGTAACACAACAATGACATAAGAGCCGCAACAGTAAAGATGTGCATTTATCGTCAAGGTCTATTTGGTGGAAAATGTGAGCATTTCCGATCGACGTGCCCCTAGGAATATCGGAGCATCGAAATAATAATCGAGTGCGTCTTTTCTATACCGCGAATGAGTAGAACAATGAGTAGAACAATGAGTAGGACAAAATAAGATTAAAAATAAAATAAAGAAACCACAAGAGAGAAAGGTGCAGAAATGTATGAATATCATGTGGAATTGATTTGATGTGTACATTCTTGTGTTTCTACCGTAACACGCATTTTGGATGTTGGTTTCGGACAATGACCTAAGCGATGAATTCTGAGACTGATGCTAGATAAGATCGTATTAAAGATATCGCATATCCCAAGGTCTGTTACTTCGATATTAAGGCCGATCGCGGCAGAAAAAAAATGTTTGCGACGCCTTATCGCGTGGATGGACGATGACACGGAAGAACGCTGCGCGTATCAATATCACATTTATTATTAGTCGATATTTTTAGTCGATCGTCACGATCGTTCGCGGCCGGATTAGCACGATTACTGGCGGTAGGGATTTCCAAAGTAGTAAAAATACCCGATCGCAAATCAATTTTGCATTTTTTTGTTTTCATTACAGCGCCGCATCTGCGTAGATAACGCGATAAGGGTAATGTATACGCAGAGAAGGTCATTATTGCGGCGATTTCCTTGAGGAAAACTGACGCAACGGGATTTTCATTCAATTTCCACGTTTCCTTTCCGCGTTTATCGTCTCGTGAAAGGTAAAGCCGTTTTCATCATCGTGACTGAACGATTTTCTTATCGGCGGAAACATCATGTGATGTCTCATTAATCATTACCTCTCAAACGCATCGCGTCGTATCAGTGAGACATGTCCAAACATATCGAAAAAAATTATATAATTTACGCACGACTTTATTGCTCATTTCCAGCGAACTGCGCATCTGTTTTCGGAAGACATCGCCATCGATGACTTTACCTTAGTGAGAACTTGTAGTGTGTACTATTTTTGTACTGGAGCAGCATACGCGAAATTTTCGTTTAAGTTATTATAATTAGCGTGAGTTTCTGAATATCTTTCCACTATGTCTGCACAGAATGCCACGAGAGAGAGAGAGAGAGAGAGAGAGAGAGAGAGAGAGAGAGAGAGAGAGAAAGGCAAATAATCATAATTCCGGCAAGTTTATAGAATTATACATATCTGTTTTCTCTCCGTGCCATTTTGTACGCAAACTGCGAAAAGATACAGCCACAAGCTGAGGAGGCGACACGTAAATTATTTCCGACGAATTTTTTTTCAATCGTACAACGATACTGCAAAGAAATACGACGATATCTTCCGTGCGATTCGAAGAGCAGGCGTATATGTGAATGAGGGAGAGAAGGCTTATAGAAACGTCGGTAAGCTCGGAGAAAGAGGATTTTAGGAGACGTTCGCACGTTCGACGCCTGAAAAGATCGAATCCGCGTCTCCACGTTTCCCCAAAAATCTGACGCGCAGTACGGCGGAATCGACGAGCGCGGAAACAAGCATGCGGCAATCGTATTGTGTGCAATGACGAGAGGACTTTAATCCATTTCACTGACTGGCCATTAAGAGCGACCTCAACACTTTGAGGAGCGACAGTGTCAATATTTTCACAGCACGGCTGAGAGAAACTGTGTAATTTTTTATGACATAATCGGACATAGTCGACCTAGTCTTTTTTCCATCGCTTGACGATCAACTTGCGATCTATCAACGAGAGACCTGTTAAGTGAACATCTCTACGCCATTGGTACATCTGAAGTTATACGACCTTCAACAGACCGCTCCTTACTTTGCACATTTTACATTTAAAAAGGAAGAAGAAACCCGCGCGCTTTAAGAATCTAAATATTCAAAAGATATCATCGATTGCCGATTGTGGAAACTGATTAAGGCCAAAGAGAATATGCAGCGTCGTTAATTGTATATAATACTTGAAATTTTACTGAAATCGTGCGTTTAGATAAACGCCGCGGACTATCGTTAACCGGAGCTCGGTAATCAACGAGGGTGTGAGGAACACGCTAATTGTAATCACAGCGAAGAATTACGCGCTCACAATGAAGAATCACAAGCGCCGTGACACCTATCGCCTCACAGATGGGGGGGTGCAGGGGAGAGTGGGAACACGCTGTGCCTCGCGTCGAGAGGCGAGGATTTCAAGCTCTCTTTAGCGGCGCGCACCAGAGAGCGAGCAGGAACGGGCCGTCCCACGACGAAGCGCGTCCGTGGTGGGGTGTCAGCCGTGGCTTATCTGGCGACTTTATGTATATTACGATACCCGAGGCAGGAACACGAGCAGTTCACTGCTGGCTAACCGGTCGGAGAAGTCGGCGAAGCCGAGTCGTCCGCGCGGCGCGCCTCGCCGAGTGCGTGAGAGAGAAAGAGTGTTCGTTGACGTTTTTCGAACAAAAACCCGTGCCCCCTTTCTTCCTTTTTGTTTCCCCCGTTTCTTCCGCGTTTGTTGCGTGTGTAGAATAAATAATATCGCGCGAATTTCACTCGGCACGTCCGCAAGCAGCAATTGCACGTCAACGTGGTGATCAGCCGGGCGGCTCGATAAGTCAAGTCGATCGAACGGAGCGGTATCGCAGCTAGCTCGGAGATCGCTTCGGTCCAGAATGATCGTTCTCGCGTGGTGCCTCTTCATCATCGTCTCGTTCCTGGTGGCGAGCAACCAGGCCTTCCTCAACGCTCCGATACCAGGTACGCCGTTTCTTTTTTCCTTTTTGCGCAGCTTTACAACGCGTTTATCTCGGTGACGATGTATCTCGGAATCGACGGAACGAACCGCGGAGATCTCGTGATTCATTCTACAAGTTTTTCCCGCCGGACGCTGCGTCACTTTCAGTGAATTTACGCGTTAACGATAAGAATCGTGACGGAATGGTGAATCGTTTCTGGCTTTCTAATATATCCATCGAAGGCACGGATCAATCTTGCAAGATTCTCGATCGCTTTTGGCGATGACCTGTTTCGAGTGTCGACATCGGCACGTGAACCGCTTATTGATCGTGTGATCACATTTAAATTGCTGAAACCCGTAAATCGCGTGGCGCCGCGTATTTTGCTTCAAGTTGACCGGAAACTCTATTTTCATATTTTGCTTAAATCTTTAAGAATAAATGTCGTGAAACGACGCTCTCGTGCGGTTGCATTGACCGCAGCTGTCCCAGAAGAGATAATAGAAAATAATACAAATTCATTTTCATATAAAATTGTCGGATTAATTTTCATTAATGTTCAGAATATATATTAGTGCGAAATATCTATAACGTTACGAAAAAATATTAATCGTGTCAGATGTGTCATAGAATTCAATAGTTATAGGTCGTGAATCTTGCTTAAAACATTTAGGATAATTTAGTGTCGTTTCCGTATCGAATATTGCACTCAAATGATGGAGCACTGTATTACCAGAGCACAAAGAAATAACCTCTGTAACCCGTGTGTGCCAAATACTGTGGAAGATAAAAAAAGAGAGAGAGAAGACGTAGAAGATTTCATCAACACGTTTGAAGAAGTTCATTGGTCCGCGTTTCAATTGATCCAGCTCCGAATATAGATAACGTTATATTATTTAAAGTACGGCGTAATCGATACGATTATGAGATTTCGGTGATTCGATTAAATCCTGCAGTTTACACAGCGTAACGCTATTAATTAACCTAAGTCTAATCCATCTCGTGTCAGACCTTAATTTTTCATAGTCAATTAGCGTATAACTTAGACAAGCATTAATGCATATACACATTAGCCAAGTTCCTTCTATCAAGGAGAGATTTTCCAAGAATTATGTCAAATCACTCTTGACATTACTAACGCGTAAAGTACACAATAATCTAAGAATAAGAACTCATTAAATATTAAAATTAAAGAACGCCCCAAGATTTACGTTGTTTCAATATTTTATGTAGAACCTGTGTTATCATTGATATTAAAATCGTATTAAGATTCAAATTATAAAAGTATTTAAACTCAATTATATATAAAATAGAGAGAGAGAGAGAGAGAGAGAGAGAGAGAGAGAGAGAGAGAGAGAGAGAGAAATGTTATTATTATAATAACAAGAATATAACGCCTAATCCCTTGTAGTCAATGCTGCACATTGCCAATAAATTATTATTAATTTAATCAATTTGTTATTGTAAACGATTGCCTTTTTTTAATTTGTAAAACATCTTGCATTGCAATCAAAACGATATTTTATTCAACTTTAGTTTTCAAGATCTCCCTTTAAAACTATTAGATTCCTCAATACGGTTCTAAACGCGATCTAACGGGCAAATCTCTAAAGAAAAACGAACGCAGTGGTTCTTCCGTAAATTTCAATAAGCGCAATTCGATTAATGTATCTTTTCTCTTTTTTTTCCCCGTGACGTCCTTATCCGAAACAGCTTGCATCGAATTCGCATTCGAAGGTCGCACGAATGCGACAGAAAAAGCACTAATCGCACAGACTGCTCGCGAAAGAACTCTTATCGTGACGCTCGCGGTTAAACCTGTGATTGCACCGTGTGTACTCTGTCGCGCATAGATTTTGCATACCGCCGTTGTGTGAATGACAGATTTATCTCGCGTGCGCTCTCGTAGTCGACGAGAATTTCGCCTGAACTGTTGCCTGCCGTAGTCAGACGGGGACTTGATCCGTTTCCAGCGTACGAAAGTTCGATCGGCACCGAAATTTCGATCGTCCTCCCGCAACTTTTGCCCTCCCGCTTCCGCCCTCCTCCCCTTCCACGCGCATTCTTAAACGAGAAATATCTCGGATAATCAATAATCGTGCTATAAAGCGGCTGGACCAGACACTTGACCCTGCGCTGCCTCGCTTCGCGCCGTTTTTATCTGGCCAATATATCGGCAATCAACGATGCCACGTGACTAAAAATGTCACACTTGATAATCGTCTGTTAATTGGGATATAAGTATTACTAGACTAAAATAGACCCGAGAAATTTAATAAACCTAAATAGAATAACTTTCCAGAGTAATATTCCGAAATGAGCATAAAACGAAAACACCCATTTAACCATTTCGCGAGCAAGTTGTTACTTTTTTTTTTAAGTGGAACACTAGCATCCCAGGGAATCAAGAGAGGCGAGAAAAGTAAGTGGGGACTTAGAGGTCCCAGTGGCCATTGAAGCGTTAATAGTCACACCGTGATCTTATTCGGCGATCAAAATGCCCTCCACGGAAATTCAGATTTCGAGCAAAGCGTCGAGGAACCACGTGCGGCGTTTGTAATAAAACGTTACTTTATTAATGGGAATACGTCGTAATAATTCAGCAGCGTCTGAGCAATGCCGATGTGGCTTTTTCGATATACCCAGCTCTTGAATAATCCATACTCCGAGTACCTATCGGAGAATGCGATCGTTCCCTGCCGCGACACAATTTTTATAAAAAGATTGATGGCAGAATTTCACGGATACTTTTAATGTTACATGTCGCGTCGTATTATTATTAATGCCAAAAAGAGCGACGTGTCTTTTAATACGCAATTATAATTGTACCGATATGAATAATCGTAATAAATCCCGTTGAAAATATTGTATAACGTATCGCGATTAACTGTGTCACGTGAATTTAAGGTACGCGTAGCAAAAGGTCAACTCGAAACTTTCTAATACAACTGGTAAATATATTTATCTAAACCATGCCGAATGTCTTTGAAATTTTTACCCAACCGGTCGGATAACCCGTCTAGACGCCAGTTAACGGATGTACGAACGTACGTACAATCGAGCACATAACGCTCGCGTTACTAAATATAGAAGTACAAAAGCGACTGGGAAACCCGTTATATCTAGCCTCGAATACATCCTGTGGATCCTTAGCATACAATTACGATGAAACTTCCTACATTCAGGTAGACTTAAGGACGCGAATTTTCCCGCTACTTTGTCCGGAAGGAAAAATTAGCCCTGAACTTAACAAGAAATTTATTATTAAAGTTAGCATATCGCGGATAATATGCCCGTGAATTAAAACCGGTAAGAATGAACGATGTCATACCAGGATTCTTGCGTAATTCTTTCTTGGTCCAACCGTAACCGGATATTTTTATCATTTTGACATTGATACGTAATTAGTGTAAATGGCGGCATTTATCTCGACGTATGCATTACAGATGCCGCGCTGTTTGGAGAGGCCGGGTTTCGATATTGCGGTTTATACAATATCTGCTCGAGTTGTATGCGTCGCCCGTGTGACATGATATGGTGTCTCACACCTGACTTTGAAATTCCTCCGGTAAAGAACTCCTTCAAAACTGTACTTAAGTGAACTGGAAAGAGAGGCAGTGCGAAGAGGATAAGAGAGAAAGGGGGGGAGAGAGAGAGAGAGAGAGAGGAGAGGGAGAGATATAAAGTCCGACAGTCTCTCTTGAGAGAATGACACTCGCCGGTACGTGTTCGCTGACAATGCTCCCCCGGTATACCCTCTTAAACCTGCCTAACAATACTTCCGATAATAATACACGGTGATCACGGAACTTGAAGCGATGCCAAGAAGACTCGCCGGACTTGGTCACAAAAGTACAGTTACGGAGTACGAAAACTTCCTGGGCGGATAAAAGTTCCGGGATAATTTCGCGATTCTTTGGATACAATTGTGCTGTTCAGGTACAATTAAGCGCGTTTCTACGTCTATTTCGGAAAACTACCGCGATCGAGTCATTAAGTAGAATCACGAAGCCAGCACTCATCGTAACGTTTTATTGGCCGCACTGCGAAAAACTTTTCTGCCTGCAAACGTAACGAGAGGCCCGTCCACGCGAGGGCTTAACTTTATTCCTATCAGTGGCAAACACGAGATCAAAGTAAAACAACATCAAAATTTCTCTGTGCCTAAATAAGAGAAACACACTTCTGTTCAATTTAATTTATCTAACATAAAAATACAAGGCGACAACATCGTCGGAAAGGGAATTCCGTTTATGAGTATCGATATAATATCGTGGCGTTATCATCTAACAGATATCCCGATTTTTACTGATTGTATCTTGAGAGTCACTAAATTTAGAACAACGACGTTAACAATTACTCGGTATCAATCGACTTGCGTCTATGTATACGCGTATCGGTCATCTTGTCGAGCCTCAGTTTTAGCTAGACTCAGCCTCTTAACGAGACAAAGACGTGGAGTATTCGGAAATGGAGCAGGCCAGGGCAAGAGCGAGACGAGCAAGCGCGAGAGGCTGAGACGGTACAAAACGGGGCTTGAACGCGAGCGATACTCTCGAAGGCCGCAAGACCGAGTCGAGCGCAGTTCTCGATATTGAAGGTTACTGTAGGAGAAGGACAAAAAATCCAAATTTTTTACTCCGTATGCGTCGGTGCGATTTCGTGAGCGGGGTCGGTCTGTTTTCCCGGTGACGTATCTCGACGATTACGTCACTTGTTTACACCAATACTGATTTGATTGGCTATTAGAGAACAATTGTGCTCGGTACCTGTACACGCGCGGCCTTATTTCTGCTTGTTTTTCCTTTCCTTTTTCTTACCCCTCACGCGCGGGCAAGTCTATTAATGACATATCGCATTTTAACACGACGCAGAGATGGCCGATTGTCAAAGCGCCGATTCCAATTATTCAGTGGTTACGTAAAAGCGGCGGTTGTAATTGTTGATAGAGCAAACAATGTTATCACGATGGTGCCATCGAAACTAAAGTAGCTTCGAGAAAACGCACAGAACGATTGCACG